TGCCCTTTTTTCGTCTTGAAGGAGTGGACATCAAAATAGACATTTATACACCATTCGATAGAGAATTGGAAGGGCTATTTTTTGCAGTATTTATATTTGGTAAATAAGAGAATCGACTTTTTCGCCTCATGTCCGCTTGGATGCCCACTGTGGAGAGCAATTGCCTATCCATGATCTTTTCAAGCCTGTCCGTGGGCAGTACGGGCATGTCAGCGGCTCTGAAAATTCCCATCCCCGTATAGATCTCTAGTCGGGACGCGAGTTTTAAAAACATGTCTGAACGTTTTTCTCGATGATTAAATGATCCACGAAATTACTTACCGATTTTCATTTTGTATTTTACTGACTAAATCTGAAAAAAATCGATAGCCACCTTTCAACACGCATATACAAACTAAAATGAGTGAAAATTACTAGTGAATACCAAACTAGGATGAAAACTTGATCAATCTCTTGTTATACTTAGTTGTTCTGGTATATGAATATTTAAATCTGAAAATATTCTGCTTGCCAAAGCTTCAATTCGATCTTGTACGAGACCATATGGAATCAAAACAGATTTCAAATCATCACGATAATGTAATGGTAGACTGAAAGATTGAATAAAATAAGGAACGATAATGTTTCAACAAAAAATGACGATACTCACTTAAAGTAGCGTAGTGCATAACCTTCGAACTCGTCTGGAATTACTAATGGATCACTTTCAATCTGAACAGCTTTTTTAACAAGCTTAGGATGACTGTCAGCCATGTTCTCGTTTTTTATTCTTTACAAAAGTCTAAATACTGTTTTTATCTGGAAATGAATAAAGAATCAAGCGGTTACACATACAAACGGGATCTTATCTATACTTTATTATAAGATAAAAAAAATTATTTTTCGTGGTTAAAGCAAATCTAGTGTTAGAAGAAGAGCAGAACATATAAATAGAAAGAAAAGGTAACCTTTTTCATCTACTTTCGATCTAACATCCTTCGGCTCTTCGCGTGCTCAACATGAGAAAATGTGAGAAATTTAGTGAAATATAAAAGCTTCTACTTCCTTTTTTTTCTACATTTAGAGTATAAGGTCATCTTTCTAACTAGTAAAAGTGTCAAGTTATCGAGAATTTGATGCAATTACATCGTTAGCGGGGGCGGTGACTAAGTCGTAAGTCAGTAATATTCTTTCTTACTTCGCACACAATATTGCAAACATCTATTGTTATAAGTTAAATTTAATTTGATTTACTCTTCTTAACAAAAAATTATTTGACATTTCGACAACGAAGTTGTCTTCATTAGAAAAAGAGAAAAAATGATGTACAGTATGAGAACAGTGAATAAATAGAATTTGAGTAAACTGTTTATCTTTTTTAAATTGATAGTGGATCGGTAATACTGGACGAACAACTCATAAGTCTTCTTTCTTCCGATCCACTATTATGAGAATAATTACATGTAGTCGAATACAATAATATCATCAGTGTCACAATATTAGCATTTTCACATATTCAAAAATTAAGAGAAACGATTGAAAATATGTTTCATAACACAAAAAACTTTATTAATAATATTTCAAATGTTAAAATTTGGCCAATCTAGATGTGCAAGATTTGTTTAATAACATTAAGCTGTTGACATTGCTATCAATCGAATAGGATACTCGGAAAAATTTTGTGAATCATCACTAACAAGATTAAATTTGAAAGATTATTATTAATATCATTAAATAATAGTTATTTTATATTTAATGGCAAATATCATAGACAATGACATGATCTACCAATGGAAATTGTCTCTCATCCATTTTGGCTGATTTGTATATAGATGAATATATGAAAAACCATTTAGAAGAAGTTAATCAATCGCAGAAACTTTGGAGATACGTCGATGATATATTAATAATAACAAAAATGAATGAACAACAATTAGAAATAATATGTCCATAAGTTGAATTCAATACGAAGCAAAATTTGGTTCATATATGAATATGAACAAAATAAATTTTCTTGATATAACAACAGTAATATTAGAATTAAATGGTTTAGAAAAGAAATAGCGTCCGTTCGATTATTAAATTATCAATCATGTCATCAAAATTCGATTAAACGAAATATCATCACCAATATGGCAACAAGAATAATTGAAACGCTAACAAATAACGAGACGATTTGGATAAATTAACAAAAATGTTGAAAAACTCCAATTATCCTCCAAAAGAAAGTGAAAAATGTGATAATAATTGCAGCTGTTTTGAACTTCATATCTTTATTTGTTTGATATTTCTGCCTTTAACCGGTCATTTTCAAAACCATAAACAGAATAAGTGTACATATAATGAAAACAACTACTTTCTTTCTTTATTCCTACCACGAAATAAAATAGAAGGGAAAAGAGAAAATTTCAAGACTAGGACGATACTTTCTTTATTTATGCGCATATATTAATAACCTCCTATATCTATTCTATTAAAATCAGGACTCATTTATGAAGCTAAATGTTCCGAATGCGGAGAAACTTACATTGGGAAAACATGTCGTCATTTAAAAATACGTGTTAATGAACATCTGAAAGCTCAAGAGAAAAATATTTTATCTCAGATAAAACTCGTGCCAAAAAATATTTCTATCTTTTTCAATAATCCAGTCATTGTATATAGCTCCGCATTCACATGAAATTTGATATAATACTGATTTTGTCCTATTTTTGATAGATGAGTTAAATGACGAATTAATTTTATTTGGATACGAGAATAATAATTTAATTTTTAATTTTTCTAATTTTCGTTTTTAATATTTCGATACCTTCAACGTATAGTAAGAATAAAATGAATATTCTGGTATTTCACTTATGTCTATTTTAATAATGATCTTGTCATTGATTTTAATGTATTTAATGTATATTTTACTAACAGTGTTACAGGACCGCAGGCACAATTAGCTATTGCGAAACGGTATAAAAACACAGGACATGTAATGAAGAATTCGAATTTTCTCACCAGTTCTAAATGGAACAGATCGATCAGTTCATCTTTATGTCGTTCGAGACGGTATAGAGAAAAAGAAAACAATTGGAGATGGAAGACTCATACCATCAGGAAGAGTCAGTTAAAATTAAATACATTAACATCACCATATAGATAATGTTGTCATTGGTTTTTTATATATGCGCATATATAAAGAAAGTATCGTCCTAATCTTGGAGTTTTCACTTTTCCATTCTATTTTATTTTGTAGTAAGGATAGAGAAAGAAAGTAGTTGTTTTCATTATATGTACACTTAATCTGTTTATGGTTTTGAAAATAACCGGTTAAAGGTCGAAATATCAAACAAATAAAGGTATGAAATTCAAAACAGCTGCAATTATTATCATATTTTTTACTCGAAAGTCGTTGCCCTCGTACAGATATTTTGAAAAGAAAGTGATATGTTGATAAACGATACATTAAAATATACATTAAATACATTAAAATCAATGACAAGACCATTATTAAAATAGACATAAGTGAAATACAAGAATATTCATTTTATTCTTACTATACGTTGAAGGTATTGAAATATTAAAAACGAAAATTAGAAAAATTAAAAATTAAATTATTATTCTCGTATCCAAATAAAATTAATTCGTCATTTAACTCATCTATCAAAAATAGGACAAAATCAGTATTATATCAAATTTCATGTGAATGCGGAGCTATATACAATGACTGGATTATTGAAAAAGACAAAGACGATTCAAATTCAGAAATGATTCAACATTATGTAAAAATCAAACATCAATGAATGTTTAAACCAGAAAATGCGTTCATTATTGATAATGGAATTGATCCATCCAAAAGAGGAAGAAAAAAGAAACAATATATTCAACAATAAATAATTCAATTAATTGGCGAAATGATATTAATAAATCATGGCTGCTAATATTATATACACCAAAAAGCAAGAAGAAAAAAGAGTATTCAAAATAAGACAACAAAACATTTGATTATACACGATATCAATAACATAAGTGGCAAGACGATGACCCCTAGTGGATCGAAAGAAGAAGACTTATGAGTTGTTCGTCCAGTATTACCGATCCACTATCAATTTAAAAAAGATAAACAGTTTACTCAAATTCTATTTATTCACTGTTCTCATACTGTACATCATTTTTTCTCTTTTTCTAATGAAGACAACTTCGTTGTCGAAATGTCAAATAATTTTTTGTTAAGAAGAGTAAATCAAATTAAATTCAACTTATAATGACTTTTCTTACAAGACATGAAATCTGTTGTTTTAACTAGAGATAGGCGAGTCACTTAAAGAACCATCTAGAAATCTTTCCTGCTAAAAAGTTTCGAGCTACTTTTAGTAGTGTTCGATTCAGATTTGTTTGAGCTACAAAATAATATATCGTAATAAATTTTACCATCTTCATAGATTTGGCCTAGTCCCTGAAAAACAACTGACTCGAGCTTTTTGAAAAGTTCGAGTAATTTTTTCGAGTCCGTTGCTTTTCAGGGGTTAGGCCGAATCTACGATAAGGTTCGACGGATAACCAAGCATTTTTTTTGTGGAAAAGCAGTTTAATTCTTAGAAAAAATCATTAAAAAGATTTGGATCCCGCGCAAATTCTGAATGTCTCGGATCAGCTGTAAAATGTAAAGAAAAATGAAAAAAAAAGAATAGAAAATCAAAGGCGAATTTATTTTATTAAAAAGAATTTTCTACAGTAGCAATAAAACGGAAACATTTGTCACATATTTCAGTAATGTAACACAATTTAATTCGAAAGACGAAATTCAAGATTGAAAATGTTTTCTGTTGAAAATAAAAAATGAACCGTTAAAAAAAAAACATTGAAAAATTGAAATCCATCTGTAGGAGTCTCTAAATTAAATCATATTAATTAAATTCATTTACTCAGAATGATATTTAACTTAAACTTGTGTTAAACACACAATTTAACGTACTTTACTAATAGCAATTTTTAAATTTTATACAATTATGCTATCATTAACATCCACCCATCTTTTCATTCGTTTTGGACTCGATTCCAATTGATGTGATCCCATGATATCTTCATCTTCGTCCACCTCTTCTTCATTATCTGTGCTAGGTGGCGTTCTTATGTCGACCTGCAGTAATGCTATGAGAAAAGGAAAAGATCAATAAAACTAAATTGATTTATACTAGAATACACACTTACCTCTTTTATATGTCAACAATTTTCTTCGAAATTTTGCTCGTTCAAGTGCAGCATGATTACTTCGATAATCTGTTCGTGCACATCCACATAAATTTTCAACAACAACAGTTGACAATGATTCCATATCACCTACAGATAGAAAAAAATGTCAAAACAATACAAAATTTTATTTGTTAACAACAATACATACGACTAATTGTAATTATATTTTGTCGTTTTCTAGGTCGAATATTGTCTTCATTTTCTATATTTAACCAATCAAGATTATTTGGATCAATATCTCTCATCATCATTTTTAAAAGATGATCACTAATTTGAATTGGAGCAATAACAGGCGCAAGAGGAGGAGATATGGTAACTTTTTCTAAGAATAAAATATTAAATGAAAGTTAAATAATCATTAAAATAATACTTCATCTCCCTAACTCACACCTGTTGTCAATGTTGACGTTGATGGGATAGGTGTCGGAGATGAATATCTTAACACTTCAAAATGTGGTTGTTGTGCTTGATCATTGTTTACCACTATTGGATTCAAAGGTGGTGCTTTTATTGTCTGGATTTGAGAATGTTGATCAGATACCAGTGATGCACTGGTTGTCACTTGAGCAAGATTGTTTATCGTATTATTATCAACAAAGTTTGGTTCTAATGAATGTCGTTGAATTTGAACATAAGGAATATCTTCGTCTAGAATGAAAATAAAGAAAAGTATGATCATTTAACTAAAATAGAGACTGAGCATAAAAAATCCAATATTTTGTATCCGATAATTTACAGTTAAGACTCGATGGATTAGATAACAAGTAAAAAATAAATATATTATACCTTTTTGTTGAACATATTTGTGTGCTTTTGTTAAATGCTGCTTTAAACTTGATTTATTTCCCGTTGTAAAACTGCAATTTTGTATAGTACACACATAAGATACTGTATTGTTTAGATTTCCATTCTGACGTTTGTTACCATCAGTTCGATGACGTTTTAAATGTGCATGATACGTTGAACGTATACGAAATTTTTCATCACAATCTAAACGGTCAGAAAACAAAATTTTTATAATTAGACAAAGATCAACTTCAGTTTTACTAACCAACATAGGGACATTTCATGATCATATTTGGAAAATGTTTTGAACGATGATTTTTTAATGTATCATTCCTAGTAAATGTTTTACCACAATTTGGAAATGTACATGTATACGTTCGTACTCGTAAATGAACTGTACGAATATGACGATTGAGATTCGGTTGAGTATAAAATAATCGTTTACATCCCTAAACAAATGAATTTTTATATGTAGAAATAAAAAAAGTGAAAGTAGAGCTAACTAACCGGATATGTGCAAGAATAATGTTTATCACCCACATGTATTAGTAAATGTTTTTTATATGATAATCGCCGATTAAATACTTTATCACATGATTGACAGGAATAAACATGATGTCTTGCTTTACCAGATACTGGTGTTGTCACTGCAGAAATTGACTGGGAAGGAGATATAAATTCTTTGACATTTTTTGTTGTTACATCATCAGGTGATATTGTTGATGAAATACCACACATTTGCAATCTTAACATAAAAATAGTAGAAAATGTTACAATTACTGTTAAAAACATCACTCGAACAACAAAGTAGAAATAAAAATCGTTTGATTATCTTACTCTTTAGTATTTCTCATTTCATTATCCATTATCGGGGTCGTTGTTGCTACTGTTGTTACTTGTTGTTGTTTTCTTCTTTCTTGTGAATGCATATGTTTCATATGCAATGTCAGACTATCCTCTTTTTCAAAATTTTCACCACATGTATAACATTTATAGATTGGTGTGGTATAGGGAGAAATAAAACATTTTCGAACATGAAAATTATACTGTTTAAATGTTGTAAACTTCTTTGAACAATTTTTACACTAAATGAAATGAAATTTCTATCTTTATGGACGAAATTTTAAACAATGTATATAAAACTAAACCTGTAACAATTGACTGTTCGTTTCATTATGACTTAGGAGATGTGCACGATAATTTTGAATACGTTGAAATTTAGATTTGCATACTTGACACTAAAACGAATATACAATGAATAAGTTTCCATACTCGAATAGAAGTAGCATAAACTTACCTTAAATGGATGTGTGCCAACATGACTTAATAAGTGACGCCGAAACAATTGATCTAATATTCTTGGACTTTCTGTTGGACTATATAGAAAGAATAAACGGTAAAATGTACGAAATAAAAAGATAATTTTTACGGTTTTAACGAACCTCTCAATTCGTTCATGACAATTTGGTAATAAACAACAATAGGAACGTCGACGAAAGACAGAAGATGTTTCTGTTGTTGGCGTTGGCATCAAAGATAAATCGTTCAAATGTCCACTACCATGAAGAACAAATTGTTCATATTCGTCAAATTCAGCTGAACACAACACACAACGATATATTCGAGAAAAAAGTTTGTGAATATCATGAATCTAAATAAGAGTCACAATCTCAATATGTTACAAAAATCAGAAGATAAAAAGAACAGAATTCGAAATAGTACTTTTTAGTACGAGAGAATATAATGTACATCTACCTTTGGCTGACTGTTTATTTCTTGTTTTTCGCTATGTCTGTATTGTTGATTATTTAACATGTGTTGTTGTTGCTGAGTGGAATCTGTAGTTTTTTGTACTAATAATGCACTATCATGAATGCCATTTGGATTCGAACAAACAGTAAACTCTAAAATTAAGAAAAGCAAAAAATCCTTTAAAAATGTGATGCTCGATGATTATCATTCAAAATTGCCTCAATCGAATTACACTACAGAGTAAGAAATTTTCAAACGAGAATGATGCTAAGATTCTCATTGTAAGTCTTAAATATCAGTTACCTATTCCAAATATAGCAATATTTGATCCATATAGTTTATGATTGTGTTTATCATCCACCGTTGGCTTGTACTCTGACATTTTATGATGATTATTCTTCGTTATCACATGATTTACTGCTGGATTCACATGAACTGGAGGATATTTGGAACGTTGTGGTTTTTTACTATTATCACGTTTACTACTATTAATAGTAGTACTATTATTACTAACATTCTTAACAACAAAAATATTTTGTGTTTGAGATGTTGCTTTTTTGATATTATCGATGGAGACCGTTTCTAGTAACTGATCGGTCAATGTTGATGACGGTGATTTTTGTTGATTTAATGTATCAGTTTGTACTGTGGGATTTCGCTGAATATCTTTCAAGCGAATGACTCGCACCACACGATATTTTCCATCGGTAGTTGAAGAGAAAACATCTTCAAAAAGAGAAAACAAGAAATGCTTTAATGTAATAATACATTAATACGAACTTACTTTTGGCCGTTGTGTCATCGTTACTGTTCATTACCGTTTTGTTGATTTGCATAGGTGTTTGTGCTGTATTATGTCGTCGAATGATCCTTACACATTGTATATTGGGTTGATTGTTTTTATTTACACTATCCTTGTCAATCAATGGTGTGTAGTGAATAGGTAAAGATGAAGATGTTGGTGCATCGAAAGAAGTTGACGATGGAGACACAGTATGTATTGTTGCCACTGTATTACATGAATCTGAATGACGGCGAACTTCACTGAAATATGATGGCTGTTCTTGACCATCAATATTTATTTTTGAATAAATATCGGGTGTTGTTGAACGTATTGGTGTTGATATATCCTCAATTAGTTCATCTTGTAATTGTGGCTGATCATCGAAACTCAAAAGTGTGGATGCAGTGTCATGATTATTAAGTGGAAGAGATTTTGTTCGTGATAATAATGTTTGTTGATGTTGATCTTGAGGATCTTCACTGAATAATGGTAAACGCGATCGAGAAAATAAATTATTGTTAAACAAATGATTCGTTTGTTTTCTATCAAGGAAGCTATCATCGACTGTAATTTCTGAATTGAATGTGTACGGTTGTTGATTGATGTTAAAAGTTTGTTGTTGTTGAAATGGATCGATTCGTCCATAAGCTAAATCGAGACTTTCTAGGAATGAATAACCGCCATCGCTCCACGAAGATGTTGTCTTCTGTTCTTCAACATAATTCGAAATATTCAACAAAATTTGATTAGCATCATCAGCACGTGTTTCTGGAGGATAAATCACTTCTTGATGCTGTTGCTGAGTATTGGAGTTATTTTCTACTTGAGTAGCAAAGGATGTTTGCTGTTCAGATGATGGTGTCAAAGCAACGGCTTGTTCTGCACACCATTGATTATTAGTGCCAGCATTGAGACAATCAAAGTTCAAATCATCATTCACACCCAGATTTAAACGAGTCAGTGTGTCAGTATCGTCATTATTTAGCAAGCCTTGGATGGATGATGATGACAAGGAATTTCGATGACGAATTAATTTAAATGAGGATGATGGTGGTGATAAAAGACTACGACGATCAAGAATATTATGATAAGTAGAATGAAAACTATTTAACATTCTAAAAATAGATGAAAACATTTCAGACATTCTCAAAAGAGTCAAAATGTGATAGAAATATGCTCTTCGTTGTTTAGACATCTACAACTACCTGCTATCAAAAAACGATATTTAACAATGAAAATTGCATCAAAAACATAAAAAATCCGTAGTATACAATGTATAAATAGTTTATTGCCAACAGAAACAAAAAAATAAACAGTAACAAAATCGTTATTGTTCATCATTTACACTATTTTGTTCAGAATTTGTGGTAGTCCTCTTTTTTTTATTTTTCTTCGTCTTAATTTTTGGCGAATCATCATTATCCGCTATTCTCGATTGTAGTAATCGATGTTTTCGTTTATTTATTTTTTCATTTTCTCCAAAATCTTCTTCATCTAATTGTATTTCCACTTGACTTCTTGTCATTGCTACTTCAACTAACAATTTTAACACTTCTTTTTCATTTACTTTATATTCTAGTAATACTTTGTCTACAAGTGCCTCAATTTTATGCATTAACTTAATATCATATTGAGTGACTAATGTTATCGCGGTACCAGAACGTCCTTAAAAAAAATTGAAAATATTTTTTCAAGATTAAAAGGCATCTTTTTAAAGATATAGAATTAATAAATACCTGCACGAGCAGTTCGTCCCACACGATGAACATATTCTTTTGGTACATACGGAACATTGTGATTGATGACTAAATCAACCGATGGAATATCCAGCCCTCTAAAAATTTAGACATGTCTCAAAATTTTAGGACAAATGATAAAAGTTTTTTCAACGTTAAGTACCTGCTGGCTACATCTGTGGCAAATAATATTCGTACTTGTAACGATTTAAATTTAGCTAATGATGCTATACGTTGTTTTTGTTTCATTAAAGAATGTATTTCAACTGATGGCATATGAAATTTTCTTGACATCATTGATAATATTTGACAATCTCGACATGTATTAGTGAATACAATAATTGAACTTTTTTTATTATCATTATCATAGTGAATTGTTAACAATCGAAATAGATAAGCATCTTTGACGTTTGCTGGCATCAAGACATAGTATTGATCAAGTTTTTCAACGGGTTGATGACTAAACAAAATTTAGTGAAATAAATTTTAGTACGTCAGTTATTTTTGCTTTACTCACTGTAAATTGGCATCGTAGACAAAGGGTGCCTTTTTTGACATTAATTGAACTTGTTTAATCGTATCGGTTATTGTTGCACTAAATAATAACGTTTGACGTTTTTTTGGTAAAATATCGAAAATTGTCTGCAACTGTTTACCAAAATTATCTTCTAATAAACGATCAGCTTCATCTAAAACCTGTTTAAAAAAAATGATTTATTCAGTGTTAGAACTTTACGAAGCACACAGCATCTGCTCACCAAAAATTTTATTCTTTTTAACGAAAACTGGGTTCCACTCTCAATATGATCAGCAAGACGACCAGGTGTCGCTATTAAAATATGTGGATTTTCTGTCAACGAATAATTTTGAAGCATCATATCTAAAATTAAGTAGCAAACAAATTTTGCAAAAACAAAAACCATTAGTAATTTTTAACCCACCCATTCCTCCTGTGATTACGCAATCTTTCAAACCCAATGGTTTTCCCAAAACACGAAACTGATCGGCTATCTGGTAGGCTAATTCTCTAATATATATAATTAAAAAATGAATCGAATACTTAGATAGTACAGAATTTGAGTAAACATACCTAGTTGGAGTGAGAATAAGAGCGAATATACCATAAATATCTTCACTTAATGCATCTAATATTGGAAGTGCAAATGCGGCGGTTTTACCGGAGCCTGTTTTAGCGCAAGCAACTATATCTTGACCTAGAGAAATAAAAGAAAATTGAAAATATAGTCGTTAGTAGTTTGTTCAACCTATAACCTATTATGTTCATACTCTTGCGTACCGTTGAGTATTTGAGGAATACAGTTGAATTGGACGGGTGTTGGTCGAGTGAATTCTAACAATTGACATTGATTAACAAGCCACTTTTTTACGTTCAACTTATCGAATGTAACATCGACAAAATTGACATCTTCAGTCTTCTCAAATCTGTTATCCTTTTCTTCATCCATGTCTCAGTTGAACTATCTGGAATAAAATGAATAAAAACGTTCATGAAAAACAAAGATTGTAGAACTGAAAGAATATATAAATCATCGAAGCGTTTCTTAGGATTGATGATTATGAAAACGTGGACAAACCAGAGTTCTAATGAGAATAGGCTTAACTTCGAAAACTCTATTCTTGAAGAGAATTTTTAGGGAGGATGGAGGAAAACAAATAAACATATTGTTAAAATGAGTAAAGAGAATCCTATTTGTTGCTGGAAAAGAAAAGAAAAACGGAACACATGAATAAGCTTCTCTCATCATCAGATCGAGGTATTCTAGCATCTCTTCCTTTTGATAACACTTCAATGTCCATTTAAATTCTATAAAACTCGGCCTTCCAGTAATCCTTTTTATATATAAATTTGCCAAAATTTCTAGAAAATATCTTTATTTAAGAAACGGAAAAACCTATGTTTTAATTTGCCTCATTCCGTTTGATTAATTTTTTTCTTATGAAAGAAAAATCTTTTAAAACTAAGGAAACCCAGCTGCGATGTAACCGGTATCATTTTAGTTTCTTCATTTCATTCAAAAAATAAAAATAAAACTTTCTTCGTTTCTGATTGGCTGAGTCACCATTGCCCTTGCAAAGATAAGTTAGCACCACTCCGTCGCTTCTTTTGTCTTCCAATTATTGACTATTTTCACTCAACCACTCAAAAAGGAGCTATAAATAAAGTGATTACATTTTCGTTGTCTGCATTTGCAAGCACAGATTTAATATACTATTTTCACTACTAGAAGTATGTGGCACGTCAGATATTTTCAGAAAACTAATTGGAAAGTAGGTTTTTAGAAGACAATAGGAAAAAACTGATTCTGACACTTTCGAAAACAGTCAATTAACTACCATTGACCACCCGGTTTATCGATCACAGAAACTCTCAATTTTTTCAACTACTCGCGGTTGACTAACAGTCTTTCCTATAGACCGTTTACCAGACGAATAAGACAAGAGGTTGCATCTATTCACTGGACAGTATACTTTTTTTCCCGAATACATCAATAAAGCGAGTCTGATACACTGACTTGAGGTGAGATCGGTTTCTATTTTTTCGACCGAATCGAACCGAAACCGAAAATCAGAAAGTGGTACCACTACAAATGCACAGAAGTCTGCGTCTCACCAGATAACATGCTACCGTACTGAAGTAGATATTTATTTTTTGTTTTACGCTAGAGTTGGGAATAAACACAATAGCACTAGATTGTGAGATGATGTAAACATACTCTGATAGTTTTCGTTGATTTTATAGGAAAAAAAAATCCGCCCCCACAGCTTTCAAACCGTTCTGCCGCCTCTGCTCTTAATTAGGCCTGATTACAGTTTTGAAATATCTGCAGCCATTTTTCTGTCTTTTTCGCCTTTTTAACAAGCAATCACAAAATCATCAAATTTTTTTCCGTTTGGTTCGAATCTGTTCATTTTTACAAACCCTTTGAAAAAAATCGTTCGAACCTGACTGATCCATTTTTCGAAAATCTTAAACTCTGTCCGGTTTGAGACGGAACCGATCCTGTCTCTGACAGCGAATATACTTTCTACTCTTCTGCAGCAAAGTAACACGTAAATATATTCAAAAAGACAAGTTTCTTGTGTCATTATTGGTTCGGAACGGTGAAGTTCAACCGTTTCTTTTTACAATAAAAAACACATACATAGTGATGAGCGTTCATTTAGTCGACTGAACTCGTCAAAAATTGGTTAAGATGGATGATGGAAGATGCACAATGACCTCGTTTATTATCATGGTGAATTGAATGTGATTTCTTGAGTATTATTTGACGAAATTTGTAAAAAGATGGAAACCACAAACATCGTCATATTCTTTTATCACACATTTTTAAATGTAACTTCATACATTTGTGCTTTTCTATTTTTTTATCTCTTATCGTACTATTAAGCGATTCTGTTTGAACACAGATGTTCGAAATGTGTGACAAAAATCGATCAACGTTAACTTTAACGTTGCATTTCTTATCTATAGCATCATGAATGTTGATCTCATTTACTGAGATGTAATACATCTACGAACTATGTCTTTTATTTCTTCACTCCTACTTGACGGACAAATGACACTACTATACTATATAATATGTATACTGGATACACACAATAACACATAGTGCGTTTCAACAATTGATCTGTGCGCACTGTTGATCAATCTATATTTGATTATTTCAGTAGATTTTTGCAGTAAGGTTTTCATATTTTGATACACTCATCTGAAACCATTTAAAAAAAATGGGATCAATATAGACATTTTTTCTCAAATTTCTCAAAAAAGTATCAGAGTAAAACATTTGCAATAAGACAGACCAAATCTGTATTTGTAGAAGATTTTGTAAGTAGACAGCGTTGTGATATTTTATGTGATGTTTTTATGAGGTTTTAAGAAGAACTTTCTATACTTACAAGAGCTATGTTTTCGAAAACAACAACATATGTCACAAGAAAATGATGAAAGATGTGTGATACGTCTAATGGAAACAAGGTTAATGTCAAATTCTAAAGCAAGCGAAAAAATTTCCTATTTTTCAAATTTTTCTGTAAAACTTGATTTAAAGCAAACAGATCACATCTCTGATAGGTACAAAAATTCAATAAGAATTGTTCTCCTATGCTTGAAATGTTTTTTAATCGATCGAAACAATTTTTCTAGATGTCCAGAAAATAATCAAATTAACGACGTTAATGTTGATATTTTTTTTCGTTCTACTGTCTTAAATTTATTTTGTTCAAAATTCGACTATTTCACAAAGAACGACATTTAGAACTTCCAAACGAATTTTGACTGTTTTTCAAAGTATAAAATTTTATCTATTCAATTCAATTTTCATCGTGAAAATTTCACGTGTTGCCAGAAGTGGTGAGTCATGGGGGACGGAACAAAGTAATTGGCATGGTGATTCTTTCATCATGTTTGTTTAATATTCATCTATTGATTCAAATATTTCTCAATTATTAGTTCAAGATTATAAATACCAATCGGTTTAATATCAAATGCTTAAATAAGAAAAAAGTGATTTAACGTTGCTCAATTTTACATTATTAAAACAAGAATAACAACAATAGAATGACCAGTAAATCAACAATTGAAGAACAAACGTTAGCAGCAGCTGCAGTAGACAAACATTTATTCGTTGTAAGTTGATTGAAAGCGTATTTATATCTATTTTGAAGTCACTTTATTTGTTTAGTACATTTATTCACCTATAATGAGTAGTGGGTGTGAACGCGAATTAGATGATGAACAATATGAAGGCTGTTTGTGTATTGATAAAGAATGTTCATCTAATTGCTCTTGTGTTGCACGCTTTGGCCGCAATTATGACAGCTCACATTGTTTGATACTCAATAAACTGAATCCTATATTTGAGTGTAATTCCGAGTGCAATTGTGATGTTGAAAAATGTTCAAATCGCTTAACTCAACAAGATTCTTCATACAAATTCGAATCAGACATGGAAATATTTGCAGTGGAAGGGAAAGGTTATGGTGTTCGGTGCCAAAAGGCGATAGACATCGAAGGAACATTTATCGGTTTATATTTGGGTGAAATATTGACAATCAACGAAGCAAAACAGCGTTCAACCGCTGCCAATTACGAACACAATTATCTGTTGTTATATACTGAACATAATTTAATCGAATCAAAAACATATATTGATGCCAGACATTATGGTAAGGAATATATAAAACATTTTTCAAATTTTTGTATTAACTTTTTCTGTGTTCTCATCTTAATTTAGGTAATTGGACACGATTTATAAATCATTCATGTGATCCGAATCTTGAACTTGTGCCTATTCGTATTGATAATAATTTGCCATGTATTGCATTTTTCACGTCTCGTCCCATATCTGCTAATGAAGAACTTAGTTATAGTTACGGTTTTCAGCATGATGATCAGCATGATAAATCATTTAAAAAATGTTTGTGTTCGAGCGTAAAATGTAAAGGTTTTCTTCCATTTTTGGCAGACATTTAACATTCTTCATTATATATGACATTCTTTGAACTACTACCATTAGCATAAAGATTAAACTCAGAGAAATAACAAAAACTTAAACACGAATAACATAAACAGTAAGATGGAACCATTAAATCAGCAACCAATCCATGATCAAGTGGTAACAACGTTGAAACGTATCCACGTCAGTAATTTCATTAAATACAAGTCAAAAAAGATTTTTCTAATATCATTCCATGGCTGTTATGGCATTTTTAGTGGATTAACTAGAATATCTCCATTGAGAGATCATATAATAATCAAAAGTAACATACGTCTAATCTGTTTGCTATATATATATATATATCTTTGACTTTATTTTTTACACAAAAATAAGTTCGCAAAAAAAACAATATGATTATTCAAAAAATATTATGTCTTGATAACTAGTCTAATTTTATATTCGTATTTTATTCTGTAGAATATTTTCGATTAACAATTCGTTGATTTGAATTGTTTTTTAGTTCATCAATAAGTTGATAGAATGATGTTACAAACCACGGTGAATTATCTCGCACTTTCTCTCTTATTACATTTCCCCCAAATCCAATGAAACCGTCAGCTGGTGGACATGCCTCCATATCCGTTGTCCCATCACCAATCATTATTAAACGTTCATAACCTTTTGTTCGTTTTAAATGTTCAATAACAAGTCCTTTACCTCCAGTATCCGATGTGAATTTGTTCTCATCAAAACCAATATATTTTCCATCATTCTCGTCAAACAGTAAATGATTTGCATAAACATTTTGTAACGGAATATGTAGACGTTTTGCAACCGAATCGACAACAGCATGAAATCCACCAGTGATCAAGTAGACAGGTATATGTCGTTCATGTAACAGTTGAATTAGCTCAACAATGCCGTCGGTTAATTGTGGTGGATGTTTCAATAAAAATTCGTTTAAACATTGGATAGTTGGTTGGATGACATTTAGACGTGTTTTCAATGCATGACGAAAGCTCATATTACCACTCATGGCCGTTAATGTTATTTGCTCAACAATATGTCCAACATTTTGAAATTTTGCTAGCTCATCAATTGCTTCTTCGTTGCATACTGTTGAATCAACATCAAAACACACACAATCTGCTTGTCGCCATAATTGACGTGTACGCTCTTGATCAGATACATTAATAATTTGTTGAAAACTGAGAGTGGCAGCTTGTTGTTGACGTTGATCGCTGTTAGATGCAGTTTTTACGAGACCTTTCGTCATGATGATGTCTAGAAAAAGTAAAAAGAACTAAATATGAGCTATTACGATGAACTATTAAGGTCTTTATTTTTATGTTGTCATTAAAACTGTATACAGAAGAACTGCTGTTTATTAGTCGGAACAAAAAGGCCAATTCAATATGGTTTAAATCAGATAACAGATGTTATCGTTCCAATGACGTACCTCTTCTTCTTTTAACTTTTATATTTAAATTTAGTTGAAATTGATTACTTTCACACTTATGATTTTTTTTCTATCATTGGTGGCAGTTCTAATGTGATATGACAATTATTTTATAGAATAAGACTGACCCGATGATTCCCGATGCTCTGGAATAAAAAGAGAAAAGAACGCGTGTAACATTTATTTTTCGCTAATACCACATCGTCAAAGTGTGAGCGCAACGGATAATGACAGTGAGAGAAAAGTTTGAGATGGAGAAAACGAAAAAAAGAGAAAAAAGATTATGTAGATACTATATAATGGTTATTAAATGTCACTATGACTGTTTTGCTCTGTGGTTTTGTTTGACCATGAGTAGAGAAAGGAGGAGAGAAATTGAGACATTAGCATAACCTTCGAAAAAAGCCTTGATTTATTCACAAAGAGATACAAAAGTGAACAAAGTCCTCCCAAAGTACAAATAAAGTTTAGGTGCTATGCTGTTTTAGCATCTAGATGCGCTGAGCATAGAGTGGTGTCATTACTGAATATGATGATGATCTTTTTTTATGTTCATTCCAATTTCCCAAATAATACCACTTTTTCCTAAAATCTTTAATTTACTTTACTCCTAGTAAAGAACGTGTACTTAGCTACTGTGACGAGTGTGAACGTATACGCTACGAACAGTTATGCAGAATTCATTTTAGTGGTAAAAATATATGGATGCCCTGAAGAGGTCAGGATGGTTAGAAATTACTATTGAAACCCCATGCAAACGCGCAGTGCGCAAGAAAAAATGAGGATAATAAAAAATTTCCCATGACGGTGCTGAAAATCATTAGAAAGACTATCTTCCAGTAAGGAAACATTTTAATATCGCAGAGCAAGGATTGCATAGTATTAATCAAGATTAAGCAAGCACTCTGGTTCAAGACATAACTCTCATTTGCACTTACGAAATTAGAATAAAAAGCTGATACTGTTCTCATGAATTATATTAATTCTTTAGACAACATAGTTTCTATACTAGATTAAAACGGTAAGGTTTCTTCGAGTGATGTCCTAGTTTTCTTTGCGAAGCATTTCTTTTGTTTTTAGTAGGGAGGAACTTGTTTTGTAACCTGTAAGAGAGATATCTACATTACTCCATTTTCATCGAAATTATATGAATTTCTATGCGCACATTCTTGTAAGTGAGCTTCTCTCTCTCTCTCCAGATTCCGTCCTGCAAGAGAAAGTGGTCTAAACAACGGCTTGTAAGTAACAAGGAAATTGGGTAGGAAAGCAAGAAGAAAAGACGTTACACAATCATGCAATCACAACATATATTCTTGTAGGTTCTTCTACAGATTGATCGCACTCCCTACTGTGGTGTGCGTGGAGTGTGAGTGTGCGATTAATCTGTAGAAGTACCGCCTCTGAATGCAAAAAAGTTTAGAATAAATCGGCTGCATAATTATTAACGCAAACAACAAAGTTTGCTGTCATGAACCCAGTTGTGCGCATATGAGCTGCTCCGATCGCAAGGTCTCAATTACACACAAGTGTGGGCAATTTGTTCATTGTGACGCAAGCGAAAAAACATTGTTGGTCTCTATGGTAAATAAACTAGAGTCAAGGGTATCTACCTGTATCTAACATCACAAAATTGCCATTGAAGCGATATAGTGCCTCCGTTATTTTTGAAAATTACTAAAATACGCGAACACTCAAGAACGTCCAAGAACAGCTACGAACACCCAAAAAAAGTGATGTGGTGTCGTGGCTGTTCCTGGGTGTTCGCGTATTTTTGCAATACGCGTTGAAAATATATATACCTTAAAATTAAATGAGAAGGTAAAAGCACTTTTTCAACTTGTTTTATCAAAACGAACATAACTCATCTCTATAATTTACAGAAAACCACATATCTTTTACAATTTTGTAACAAATCAAACAAATCAGACAACCCTTAGGGGTCGCTAATAAACGGCACTCGAAGTGCCACTGACAATACAACTACACTGTAAGGTTGGAAATTATTCACAGAAAATGCTCGTCGAATTTCAAAGAGTACCTATAGGAATTCCTCGAGGATTTTCCACTTCATAGAAAATCGTCCTTGAATTTTCATAAATAATTTCCAGCAATCTGGAAATTCAAAGCGAAATTTTCAGTTTCTTGGAAGTCATTTATGGAAATTCGACTTCGATTTTCTATAAACTGGAAATTCCTCCTCGAATTTCTATAAATAAATGAATATCTTATATACTATAAATATATTATACCTACACTGATTGCAAAACAAAAAAGGTGAATAAGTAGTTGGTTTAGAAATTCCTGGGGCAAATTTCCAGTTTCTAGAAAATCGATCGAATTTCTATAAATAATTTCCAAGAAACTGGAAATTTGATGTCGAATTTCCAGTTTATAGAAAATCAAAAACGAATTTCGAGATTCTTGGAAATTATTTACAGAAATTTCATTTGAATTTCTATAAAGTCGGAGATTTCTCGAGGAATTTCTATAAACTGGAAATTCTTCGGCGCATTTCGAGTCCATTTTCCATAAATTAGAAATTAATTCACGTCTATAGTGTATTATTTTACTTCTAAGGAATGTTTCATTTTTGAAGCTAAATTTTCCATTTTTAACTTTGTGTAGAAATGCTACTAGACGAAAGAAAAATGATTTACTGTTCATATTGGCTCCTTCTTTGGACCCTTTGGATTGTTCAACAGCAAAAACGATGGAGACCTTTCTCAACCAAAATCCTTATTCTTCATGCCATAAATTGAATTTCATTTAAAAAGGCCCCCTCTCAGACATTATCTCTAACACCGTACATCCGATTTTGACGAGACTTTCCATAAATGTTAGATTTAGTGAGTTACGGGAATAAAAACTTTTTTTGTCTCCAAGTCTTACGGTTTAGAAGTTTTCCAGCGATCAAGGTCCAAACAGGAACCTGCAGTTTTTCACAAGATTTTTTTATATACTTCAAGCTGGAGAGTCCGGGTTTGTTTATTTTAAACTAGGCACCTAACTACACAAACTCATCTGCGCCGATCTTTCAATTAAGCCTTTGTTGGTTTTTCAGGCTAAATCAGCGCAGGTCAGTCGACGTACTTTCTTTTTCTCTTTAAACAAAAAAAGAATACACTCTCTACGACAAACCGCTGTTAAAAATCTTGGAAAATACTTCAGATGTAACTCTTATATAGAGAAAACGCTGTATAAAATACTCAATTTTAGGACTTGTAGGAGAATGTCTGTAACTTTTTGATACAAGGTCATACAGAGTTGTGCGAGATCGTATTTTGATCAGAAAAGTTTGCTCTACAAATCTGTGTGTTCAGAAAAATTTTAATTCCCTTGACGTTAGTTAGGGTCATATAAACTAAAATGTTTGTATACACGAAGAAATCAAAAACTTAAAAACTCTTGAGAGGAACGGTGTAGATGGCCGAAACTTGGGGATTACAGATAATCCAGCGTGGAGAATCTATTGGTAACATCGGAGGATCTCCGGAAGCTTTTGAAAAAATATTTGGTTTTCTGCCGATTTTTAGCTACAGTTTGCATCAATATGATGAGAAAACACAACAGTTATTGTAATAAGTAGGATTTATCTCATCAAGACAGCATCTGAGAGAACAAAAATGTTCAGAATTTAATTCTGAACAAAGTGGAATACCCCTAAAATTCCATGAATTTCTAAGAAACGCGTTAATTAGCGAGAAAAGCGCTAGTTTCTGATAATTGGCGTTTTCCACCATCAAGGAAGCACTTGGTAAATTTGGCATTGCTAGAAAAATGTTAGAAATTGAATTTTGCACATTTCATCTGCTGGCACTACAATGTGATCTTTAATGAACAACTGTTGAATTAGCTTTATTCCCTTGATGCTAGTCAGGGTTATATTAACTAAAATGTTTATATGTCTACACGAAGAAATCAAAAACTTAAAAACTCTTGAGAAAAACGGTGTAGATGGCTGAAACCTGGTCATTATACTGAACATAAACTTTAAGGATGAGTAGAAGTATGTTGATTCGATTTTACGGCAAGAACAGCTAGCGACTGTTTCCTTTTTCTATCCTTCATCAGCAACATAGCTAAATCTGCTGAGGATCGCAGAAGCTGTTTGATTAATCATAACGATAGAATGCACGCCGAAATCCGCACATCAAGGGATCAAGTGAATCGAAGATGAACGTTACTTGTTGCATAAGTATCCAGGAAAAAAATATTTAAAGACTCGGTTTTTCGAGACTCCTAGAAAACTTGCTCAGAATCTGCGCAAAACCGCTTTTGTAACGGAAAGCGATACAGATTCTGAAAATAGACACTTCAGGCTATCTTTCCACGTGCGTATCGCAAAACCGATCTTTTTGACCGAAATCACCATTTCTGAGTGGGCGGGGAGAGGGTATCCTTAATCAATGATTGAAAAGTTAGAAAATTGTAATCTTATTACAAGTTAAAAATTCCAGCCTCTTGAATTTCATTTCTGGAGTATTTACTCGCGACTTTTTATGAAGGCTCGTACTAGGACTATAGAGATTTTATATCAAGTTTGGCGGTCTGAGAGACGTTCATACAGTTGTGGCTTATTCAGACTTTTTGAAGCTTCTTTATTCTCTCGAAGTTTATCAGTATCAAATAGGCTTGCACAAATGCAAGTGTTGAGACATACACGGGTTTTTCTACTCAATAACAACATTGAACATACTGATGCATGCATGTGTTTTATAGCGTTAAATATTTTTAGGTAACACGACTGATGCTCCCGAGATAGTTGCTCCCACGACACTTGCTCCCCACTGACAGTTGTTCCTGGACACATGCTCCCCGGACACTTGCTCCGCAACGACGCTTGCTCCGCAACGACACTTGCTCCCCAACGATACTTGCTCGCCGATCATACTTGCTCTCCATATGTGCCATTTAATTTCATTTGGCAGTCAGTTGTCTTTTTTCTCGACAAGTTCAAGAAAGTTTTTCAATGATTCAAAAAAGACAATCTTATGTTGCTGCTCAGATTATTCAAGCAGAAGCCGGTGCTAGAGAAGCACGAAGACGTGAACAAATTCGTTGAAAAATGCGTATTTTAAATATATTGAATGAAACAACAACAACAAATTTCGACAAAGTTTTAACAAAGCTTTAGCTCAAAATATCCAGCAGCTACTAGGATTTCTTTTTTTGAGATTTATTAGGATTTTTTAATAAATCTCACATAATTTCTGAGGGCGAGCGCTGGGAGCAAGGGTAAGGATGTCGATGCGTTGAAATACTGATACAGGTAGTGAGTCCCAATAAATTCTCTGTAAAAAATTAATCTCAAAAAAATTAATCCCGGTAGGTCCTCATTATTGAAAAGCAAATATGAGGAGCAAGTATGATCGGCGAGCCAGTATCGTTGGGGAGCAAGTGTCATTGGGGAGCAACTGTCACTGGGGAGCAAGTGTCTCGGGAGCATATATTCGGGGAGCAAGTGTCGCGGGAGCAACGGTATCGGGAGCATCAGTCATGGATTCATATTTTTAACACTCGACATTTTTGATTAGACGAGAATGATCTCAAAAGAAATCAGCGGTGCTGACAATGTAAAGTGTAACAAAGTCGTGTTGGGAATCATTAAGCTTGCTATGCATTGTTATTTGTTATAATTATGCATCGGAGTACCCGGTAATATGTTAGACGTCCCAAGCGCAATTTCTTGTCTCAAGATGCTATTAGAAGTCAAGTAACAAGACTTTAACACGATTCTTGCTCAAGTAGAATTTCTGAAGGTCTTTAGAATTTCTCGATCGATCCAAGATCTTGACTCGGTATTTCTTGGATCACGAAAGAAACTCTTGATACTCGTACATGACGTCGAGTACGAACTAATATATTAGATATGTACCAGTTCTTCTGAGAACCAGTCTATCTGTTAGGAAAAAATGCTTGGAGTATAAGAAATATCGTGCGATTTGTCATTACTGGTGCAATAAACTTCTTTTCAAGCAATACGAAACATTACGCTAATTTTCGATGTTCAGATATTAATGAAGTCTCTATCACACACGCTTTATAGTTAAAGTCCTTCTATGGAGGGTAATATACTTTTGAAGTATAATGCAAAATGAATGTATATTCCATTTAAAACAAGTTTTACAGAACGAGATTAGTTATCATATTTTATTAAACGTAAATGTAATGTAAGAGAAAATACATCTTATTTTATTGTTTCAATAGTTCTAGCAACTTACCGAGTGTTATGAAATAAAAAATAGCCAGGTTGAATCATTGTCCATTCTTCATACTCATAAAACAACACAGATCCTGCCCATATATAACCGGCAATAATGAACATTGTAATAGTTAACGGTATGGAAGTGTAGTTAATGATAGTGACGGACAGATGTCAGGTATTTCTGAGGGATTATCGGCTACGTAAAAAGAAAAGTTTTCAAAAACGTTTTGAGCGAAATCTACAGTCATCTCTATATCTCTGCTTATAAATTTTATCGATAAATATACGGCTCAGTCATAATTTATTTTCCGTATTTTCAGTACGTGTTCAAATAAATAACGACTTTTATTGAATTTTTTGCTCATTAGGGATTTCAACATATATTTACAAGGTATAGCGATATATTTTCTGAAAGAATGTTTTGAATAAGTGAAGAAGAGAAAATAATTGGTGTTGTGAATAAAAATCAATTTTTCTACAAGAAGAAATAAACATATATATGTATATAGTTCCAAGTACACAAACGAGCAAATTAACTTTTCATATTTATTATTCTTTCGTTCCCGTCACATCTTTCTTCTTTAGGGAGAGAAGAGTACATTTCCGGTGGTTTATTTCTGTCAATAGGTCTTATTCGCTTTATATATATTTAAATAGTATTATATATATAGTCTTTTATCTGAAATGAAAAAGATCTGAGTAAAAGTTTTAGCACGCGCATATAATTGGTTAAAAAATTTAAAAATATAAAATTCATAAATAAAAAAAACAAAAGAAAAACTTGCAGTATATTCTCGATTTTCGGTTTTATTTCATCATTAATTTTTTTAAGAAAACAGTGTTGAATCAAAACACATTGCTGTGTTACTGAGCGAACATTAGACAAACTCCATATGTAAGAGAAACATACAGAGTTCTGTCAGTGAGAGTAATCTGGTAGAATTATCAGTAGTGAAGGAAATCGAAAGCTTACCATTATTAAGGGTAGAGTCCAGCTAATACATAAACCAGTCTACGTATGAGTAGGCCCACACTCTAGAAACTCGATGTACTCAAAACTCAATTGTAAATTCTTATTGTCTCTTAATTCTTCTTTTTTCTAGAATAAGAATGCCGTTTCCATCTCCACCAGTGTACGATACTTATCTTGCATCATCACACGAACAAGAAACTGTTGAAATAGATAGTGATAATAACTATATCAAATATTTTCAAACAAATTCCAAAACTCGTTCATGTTTAAAAAAAACTGCTAAATTTTTATTTTCTCATCTTGGTTTAGTTGGTCTAGTCGTCGTTTATTCTGTTGCTGGTGGATTTCTATTTGAATTATTAGAACAACATGAAGAAATGAAAAACTGTCAGCAAGCTCAAGGCGATCAACAAACATCTATAAATCAATTAAAACAAACTCTTGTTTCCTATATACAATTCAATACAACATCAAGTGGAGCTGACTCAACGAAAGATAATATGACAACAGCCTATCAAAAAATTGGCTCAATGTTAATTGATTTTCGAACGAATGTACTGAATATAACATCAACGTTTAAATATGAGGGTCAGGATTGTAGCGAAGTGAATAAATGGACATTTCCTGGTGCACTACTGTTTTCTATAACAGTAATAACTACAATTGGATTCGGAAATATAACGTAAGTAGAAAGTATACAAGAAAGATCGAGATTAAATTTCTTCTGTTATCATTTTAGGCCGGTAACATGTAAGTTTGAAGAAACGCTATCTGGAGTTGTATTTTTGGCTTTTTGATTTATAGGGGAAGGCCAAATTTGCTGTCTTTGTTATGCAACAATAGGAATTCCAATATTTTTATTATGTGTAGCTAATATAAGCGGTGTACTTGGTGAAATGTTTCGTTTCCTCTATAGTAAAATAATTTGCCGGCCATGCTATACAATCAAACGTAAACGTCATCGCATAAAAATGAAAAAGCAGCAAGAATTACATATGGCAGCTGGTTGGACAATGGACGATGATTATGATATGGATACGCGTGGCAATGGTAATAAAATTCAACACCAATATGATGATACTGATGATGATACAATTAGTGGTAAAGATCGTGTAACAGTACCATTAACTATTACAATGTTCATTATTGCCGGTTATATATGGGCGGGATCTGTGTTGTTTCATGAGTTCGAAGAATGGACAATGATTCAATCTGGCTATTTTTGTTTCATAACACTCGGTAAGTTGCTAGAACTATTGAAACAATAAAATAAGATGTATTTTTCTTTTAGCAACAATTGGTTTTGGTGATTTTGTACGTATACGTGTTTAGTCTTGTATAAACAGTTTTGATACATCGTGTGCGATGTTTAGGTACCTGGACAGCGTAAAGATGATCCAAATTCTGGTGCAAAATTGATGCTTGGTGCAATTTATGTACTCTTTGGTATGGCCATATTGGCAATGTGTTTTGATTTAATGCAAGAGGAAATTGTGGCTAAATTTCGTTGGATTGGGGAAAAAATCGGCATTATAGAAGATGATGATGGTCCCGATAAGCGATTACGACAACAAGTTGCTATGCAAGATGAAAAAAATGAGACAACACACGATATATATGATGACAATAATGGTACAACACAGCAGAATAAAATTTCGAACACTCTACGAACACCATCACCACGAATTAATCAAGTTTATCCGGCACCACAAAATTATACTGAATCAGATACATTACACTTACGTTTAATAAAACATGATAATCTCATTCTGTAAAACTTGTTTTAAATAGAATATACATTCATTTTCGCATTATACTTCAAAAGTATATTATCCTCCGTAGAAGGACTTTAACTACAAAGCGTGTGTGATAGAGACAACATTAATGTCTGAACATCAAAAATTAACGTAATGTTTGGTATTGCATGAAAACACTTGAAAATGGTAAATTCACTACAAATCGTTTGGAATGGTTCTCAACATTTGACGAACTACCAGACACATACGCTTAGTGCATAAATTCGTTTGCTCTCTAATACTACTCTCTAAGCTAAACACTTGTTATCTCATCATTTCATTCTTCATTTCAAGTTCATTTATACAATCTGCATGGAGGTTTTGCAATCGTTTCTTTTCTATTTATTTGAGCTGATTGTTACTTTTTTGGATTAGATACGAATTGGAAAGAGGATGATAGCGTTGCAGAATGAAGCTAAAAAATTTCACAGAAAAGACCCCGGTTGCATGTATAGTTTAAAAATATCGTATAACCATAAAACGTAAAGATGTTTTCGATGTGTACACCTCATCTCACATAGTTATTTCCAGTCTTCTATTAGACATTATTCGCTGCAATATACCACGAAACGTATGACTGGAAATTTAGGCGTATTCATGCACAAATCACAACGGCTCTTCAGTTTTATAAACGGTGACATTGCATGTAAACATCGAACAAAATAATTTAAACGTGGCTTATCTGTTAGGAAAAAATGCTCGGAGTATAAATATCTTGCGATCTACCATTGCTAGTGCAAAACAGGATTATTACTCTACGATTAAATTATAAGGGCCCACCATTTAGTTGAGTCAAATGTTTAATCATTCTAACTTTTTCTTATCAGAGAATGTTATTCCTACATTCGTAAATTCCTATAATAATGATTTTCTTCAGATTTCTCTTACAGTTCTTCTATTTGAATACGTATGTATATTCGAAAAAAATGATATGGCATATAAACCTGACCAGTTTTTAACTGTTAGGAACTGTTAGGAACTACTGCAAAAAAATTTCGAAATGAATTCAAAAGAAATTTTAAATTTTATTGAAGAAAATGCAAGTAAAAACTCAAAAGACTCTTAATAGGAACGCTTTTTGGGAAGTTGGAATTTATGGACTACACTCTAAAAAACAAACGTGTTCTTCGTGTTTTCAGAGAACGAGTTGAAGATCTCATTTAAGTTCTTTGAAATATGAAGAACTTAATTTCTATTTTTCAATAAAAAATGAGTTTTTCACTCATTCCAGTTTTTCAGCTCATTTTAGTTTTTCAAGATTTGGAAAACACAATATTTCTTTTGAGTTCTATGAAGATCTCGAAGTTGAAAAAGGAAAAGAAAATCACATATTTCGATCATCGCTTTTGTTTTGGATACATTACACTTACGTTTAATAAAATATGATAACTAATCTCGTTCTGTAAAACTTGTTTTAAATGGAATATACATTCATTTTCGCATTACGCTTCAAAAGTATATTATCCTCCATAGAAGAACTTTAACTACAAAGCGTGTGTGATAGAGACAACATTAATGTCTGAACATCAAAAATTAATTTCACCTAAATTTTTATTAAAAGATACTTTTCGACGCTATTCAACTTGGAGAATATGATTATGACAATCGAGAATGTTGGTCAATTCAGTAGTCTCTATGATGCCGATAATTCGAAAATTTTCCGGTAAATTGTGACGCTTTTTGTAAATAAGGGTAATTCTGTATTCCCTTCTGCTTTTTCAATCATTATCGCGGTGGATGACGTTATTTAAAGCTATTATAAAAAATATATTATTCTAGGGTACACGTCCAAAAATTGACGCTTTTTAGTGGACGGTTTTTTTGTCACATCTTGTTTTGCTTTTTTGCTGGACGTTTCGTGCTGGACGCTTTTTAGTGAACGAATTTTTTCATATGGTTTTAGTCACATGAAAAAAAACAAAATATGGAGAGATTTAAATAATATTTGACTTAGTTTTGACCGCACTATACTTTGGAAGCACGTCTGACTTGCTGGATCGATCCACTAGCGCACGAAATTAGTCGTTTCTCAGATAAGCTAGTGCAGTGAAACGATTCATCTATGCAGTATGCACTTAAACAACTGTGCTTATCGCTTATTTGGATGAATTTTTGTGGGCTCTTGTTGTCGACGCTATTTTTTACTATACTTTTTTCGCGAACGTTTTTCTAGTGGGCACTTTTTTAGGCACTTTTTTTTGTCCTGTTCACGTGATATACTGTCCAGATGGGAAGAGAGCAAGCCACTAACTAAGCATGAACCTGGTCTCGCTCGTAATATAGCTATTACTTTTTCTAATTTGCGAGAAATCGTTCCAAACGATTACACAAATACGTACTTATTTGCCAAATTGATATCGAACTGGTCATTTGTGACAGCTGTTGAACGATGCTTGGTACGTATTAAAACTGATAAAATTCTACACGTAATATAATTTGGAAAGTTTCTGTTATATTATCGAAGCTCTCAACAATTTTGATACATATACAAATATACTATCGATAATACCAATAACTTAGATATCATAGTACGTGATCCTTCAATAGATAGTTCGCCGCAGTTATTTTCGTTACTGCAGACCGTTTCAGATATTATTTGTTCACAATATTACTACGATAGATTATGAACCTTAAAATTAATTCAAAAAAGTTAGGCGTACACGAAGAATTTCTTCTTGTAAGGTGCCCTTTGTTTATTAGTTCTTATCATGGTGGCGAACATATTTGACAATTTATTGAAAATCATGCTAGCTAAGTGGACGGAGATGTTTGGCCATTTTCTTCCATCTATTAATCAATGTAAAAAATCTGTTTTAATAGCAACCAATAGCGTTTTCGGTATCTTCGTAACTGCAACTGCCACAGCAGAAAATGTCTGCATCATCCAGTTTCATCAGCATCCTTCTAGCATTGATCAATTGTTAATGGTTGTCGGCAGTCGTATGTTATGTAGCAAAGTAGACTCCGATTGTACCACTACTGAATCTTTAATTATGGATGACGCTACAACCATTGTATTTAATTTAGCGTGTGATCCTGTTCATTTATCGAACTCGAAAGAGAAGAAAAATATAATACAGACATTTATGCACCTAGTGAATACTAAATATCATAGATTAAAAATCGTTGCTTATTTGGTACTCTCAACTGTTCTGAATCGAAACGATATCAAGGATGTTAACCACGAGATAAAGACCCGCACGAACAGCTTCCATGGAAGTGGAATTCAAAACTTAACCCATTCTAACAAGATAACAGCCATCGTAAAGACTAGTCTGGACGTGTTATCTGGCTTTCGTCCGCCGTACAGTCCAGATGTCTATGAGTGACAGTTAAACTTTTGAACTACTATTCGTTCCAAAATACAAGAGCATCGATTGCTTTTTGAATAACTTTTGATAGGTAATAGATAGAGAGGTGCGGTTTTCAATTTTAGAGACTAGAGACCTGAGCCCGTGTTTCTATAAGCGAAAGCGAGTTTTCGAAAAGATTTTCAAATTGGTTTTTGAGGAGATCTTTGGGAAACCAGATCAGAACTCCCGAAAGTCTCATAGAAATACAGTCGTTTTTTTACATGGGAATGTAGCTACAAGTGTCCAGTAGCTACAAGATTTTATAGAACTCTAATGCTTTCCGAAAGGGTTTCTGGAAAAGCCATTAATAAAAATATGATTTTTCGGTTTTTTCGATCTTATAATCACGTTTAGCGGACAGAATTGATTATATCCTGAAGTTTTGAACTCGGTCTGACTCCCATTTTTTAGAGAACACTTGTAGCTACCTACCCATGTAAAAAAACGACTGTATTTCTATGAGACTTTCAGGAGTTCTGATCGGGTTTCCCAAAGATCTCCTCAAAAACCAATTTGAAAATTTTTTCGGAAACTCGTTTTCAGCACGGGCTCAGGTCTCTAGTTTCTAAAACTGAAAACCGATGCTCTTGTATTTTGGAACGGATAGTAGTCATGACGAGGGCGTTTTTACCGTAAAGATTAGTCGGAACGGTCGTCAGGAAAAAAGACTACTATCCGTCCCAAAATACAAGGCCATCTGTTACTTTTTGAATAATTCAAAAGAAATAAAAGATAGAAATCTGCGGTTTTCATCATTCGCTAGCCAAGGCCTATAGCTATGTTTTAATAAGCAAAAACGAATTTGGAGAAAAATTTCAAAGACCGGTTTTTCAGGAGATCTGTAGAAAAACAGTTCGATTCTCTGAAAACTGACATAGAAATCTATGGACTTTTTTCATAGATATATAGTTCGACGTATCCTCTACAAAACTGGATCTAAGTGATATCTTGAAAATACATGGTTCAGGAGCTATGGACGTTTTTTCTGGAGCCTTAGCATTCCTCTGCCGTTAGGTCTGGGACTGTTAGAAACTAATGAAAACATAGGTGATCGACTATGCTGAGTCTTGTGGCAATGTTAGTTTTAAGCACAAACTGCAAGACCCGAGTGAAAACCTATACTAGACGAAATAACCTATTTTTTATTATTTTTATTAAAAATCAAAAACTCATAACTCAGTTGAAATCCATCCAGCCTACTTTAGATTTTCAGGAAATACTCTATTTTATCCCCTCATTCTGATTCTGTTGGTAAAATCAATAAAAAATATCCTCTTACCTCCGGAGTTTTCTGTGAAACCTTTCTAAAAACCAAAGTATTTTCT